CATTAGTGCCTATTGGTAGAGGGTGAAACATATATATCCTACAGCACGTGTGTCACACATGTCTTTAGGTCAGCTAGGATTTTTCCATAGGTCATATGTCAGTATACACCTCTTCGTATGATTATGTTAATGGTAAAGTTCTGATTCCAGGACATACCAATACGAGGCTCGATACCCATAAATGGGTCCCATGAACTGTTGCAAAATGCACCAACCAATTAAGAAAGTGACTAGGTGGGGAGGATATGTGAGGGAGCTATGGTCTCAACTAGAGGGGAGTTCTCCATCAAGGAAACTTTTGAGTTTTTGATGAGATATCGTGTATTCCCAGTGTATCTAAAAAAATAATTGATAAAATGGCTTTGCTGGACACTTTTGAATCCATATTGGGCCACAACTGCACAGCATGTATACGATGTGTGGCAATCATGCAGTCCATTTAATGATCACATGTTAAATCTTTATTGCAGATAACAATATCTTCAGTTCCAGTCCAGTTGTTTTATATAATATCTAACTGTCATTTTTATTAGTCATGCTTTTTCCATGTTCAACGGTTTTATTTTATTTTATTTAGAACTGACCAGGGGCGGATCCATATTTTTCGGACAGGTGTTACCATTCTACTTTATTTTGCTACACATGTAATCTGAACCATATAATGTTGCACAAAATTAAGTTAGATACCTATCTTGGTTAGCCACCTTGTACTTTCCGAACTTGAATTTTTTAAAGTAAAATACCAGAGTGGAATGAATCATGAATATATATATATATATATATATATATATTGTATATATTTACATGTATTTCAATTTTCACCAGAAAAAAATACCTGTTTATCCATCATGCAAGAAAAAGATACTCGGATTAAAAACTTGAAATGTAACACGTGTACCCTGTTACTACTACGGACCACTGACCTAACAGATACAAACGTCTCTATCATGGCTCGCTGACCAATTTAATTGATGCTGGGGAAGTGTCAACAGTTCAACACCGAGTTTATAAATATGTTAGAGGAGAGGGGACAGATATTGCGCGGGCAGTGTAATACAGTTACAGAATCAGTACACAAGAAATGAAAATATCAAAATCAGATAAGCTTGCTACGAACGCAATGAACCCAAAACATAATATATTGACTTCAACATCAATGTGATTACAGTGCGTCAGAGACGTGGACTATAAATTGGCTTTATAAAGCTTGGGGGTGATACATAATATCATTCTGCAGTTTCATTTATATTGCACACTGTCTATGTCGGAACAAATTAACATTATTCACCGATTCATAGTACGTACCTTTAGCTTGCCACGCAATCTTTACAAAAGTATTCAGTTCACACGTCAAGATACTCGATGATGCAGTCGGCATAGTACTGTAATATGCCAATCGGCCATCGAAGGGATGAGTGCTCAGGGATTTCAAGCCCCCTACAATTCAATAAACGTATGCCCAAAATATTTCTTCTGTTAAAAACATATTATTACCTGACCACATGTAACATTCGAAATGTATTTGGAAAGTGCAATGTCCTGCATTGCACCACAGGAGTCCGCAATTCCGTTAAAAATAAATAACAACAGCACAGTGGAACCGGCTAATTATGATATTCTATTTGCCAGAGAAAAATAATATAATAACCGATATATTACAAAAAAACGATTACGCTGTTTTCGGCCGTTTTTAGGTTGTCTGAACCGGAATGTGGAAACCTGATAAAATATTAATACAAATTGATGAAGTAATAATTGAAATCATTTGTTAATTGTCATTAATATCAAGCACGTTTCGAGCAAGAACTATAACAACTACATGTATCGTTATACTTCATCTTAGCTAACGATATCGTAATGTAACAGTCAATAAGATGAAAGAAGTGATATATATAGTCATGATTTACTTATTTTGCACCAAGAAGTTGCGTTACATTTTGGCCCATAAGCGTCACAATATTTTGCCGCACTATGTAAATTACGATCACGTGACAAGCACATGCCTCGCAAGTCGTGCGGTTGAATCAAATTGAATAGAAACAATAACAACTAAAAACACAAAATATTTCTTTTTTTTAACAATAATCAAATAATATTTTCAACGAAAATGGTGTATATTGTATATATATCAGAAGTCGTCAGTTGTTTACGACAATAACGTTTACTTTGGATCGATTTCCGGCACCATTGGTGTTAGGACGGCATGCCCCGATTTTGACACTTTTCAACGTAGACACGGGGAAATCAACTTGTAATGCAATAGAGATTAGAGAAACCATTGCTTAACTGATTAAAAACATACGGCTTCCTTCTGGAGTAATATTTTCATTGAATCGGCATGATTTCCTCACATGACGTGTCAAAGCAACCGTTAATATTAATGGAAGGCATGCTCGTTTTCTTATCAGAATTTGTGTCAGAAAATGCCGGTAGGTTAACGGAGCCATTGACTACCGCACATGTTTTGTTATGACTAGAAAGCGATGGTCGATCTTTTGTTTTCCACCGACGGGGGTGAAGCGAGGTGTGAAAATGTTACCTGGAGTGGACAGTTACATGATCACCTCTGGCGATGTACAAGCTCGACCTATTGTTCAAATGTCCTGGTGTCAAACACCGCCAACTTACAAAATCTTATCTTATAAAATCCATTCACGGCAGCAAAAAATATTGTAATAACGGGATCCAACCTTTGACCATATCATAATAAACGATTTGTTTTGCTTAGTTATAGGATAAAATCGGTACATAGGAAAAGAATTATAATAAGCGACATCATAATAAGTAGGTTCCACCCTAGTACAAACAAAAAAAACCACCTATAATATAGCAAAGATATATTTTCAAAACATAAAAACAGTAAATAGAGAAACACTGCGTTATTAAATTGAATAAATGTTTAACAAGTTTGTTACAAACATGTCTCGTTTAATATCTCGTCTCGTATTCTGATAAGATCCTAGGAGTCAACATTACCAATGACCTACACTGGCGAAAACACATAGATGAGATATGCAACAAATCTTACAGAACATTAGGATTATTGAAAAGAAATCTTCAATCATGTCCACTTGAAGTTAAACTCCAGGCATACAAAGGACTCATACGACCTGTCCTCGAATATGCGAGCACTGCCTGGGACCCACACCAAATATATCTTCAAGATCAGCTGGAAAAGGTACAAAAAAGAGCGGCAAGGTTCATAACATCAAACTACAACTACGACCCAGGTAGTATGACAGCAATTTTAGACCAGCTGCAACTTCCATCCCTAAAAGATCGCCGAACTCAAAACACACTTATCCTCTTCTGCAAAGGCATACACGGTCAAGCCAACTTACCATCTGATCAATTGAAGGAACCATCTAGGACGACCAAGAACATGCATAGCCAACATTACCTGAGAGTCCAAACAAAGACAGACACTTTAAAATTCAGCTTCATACCAAACACAATTAAAGATTGGAACCTACTACCACCAGATATTTTCACCAAAATCAAAACAGCTAAAGATCCAGTTAAAACTCTCAGTGATATAGTAAGGGGGGACCCACTTAAGTAAAGTACTTGACGCACGCGCGGTGTAATAATATGCTTGGATGTGTCACCGTATACCTATCAAGATCAAGATCAAGATCTAAGTCCGTGTTAGAACTGATAAAATATCTTTTTGATGTTCATGTTTGAGTAAATATCGCACTCCATCTTTTGCCGTTCACTATCTGTAAACAATTCATATATATTTGATATTATCAAATAGTATGTGTATTACCAAATACGTGTATATTACAATATATGCGTCTCTACTAGAACTTCTTTTAATTTTACTTGTGTTACAAAAGCGGCACAAAATCATCTAAAATCTGACTGATTAGGTGAGTCTAATATTACATCTGAGGGAGATAAAGCTTTGTGTTAACTCACAAATATGGTTCGACCCTCCAAATAGACCGACTTCATTCAAATCCGGCTGATCAGGTTAGTCCAATGTTCCTCTAAGGGAGATAAGATTTTGCAGAAATACAGGTAAACCGCGACGGTGACCTTCGGCCACATCCAGCCAGCTCGGCTGCTTGCTGTTTGACGAGTAGCTAAAGTTATCAAAGCATGGTTAGCTTTACAGTTCTTTTGTGTTAATGTATTGGTCCTGTCGATTTATTCTGTGACTGAAATGGACAGAGCACGTTGTAGAGACTTTCTTAATTCTGCCGGAAAGAATAGTCTTATTCAAGTGGTATAATTTCAGGCTTATTTGCAGTGGTAATTTTTGTGATATAAAGAAAAACGTTAGTGACCCAAACATTGTGACGGGAACTGTGTACTGTAGTTAGGAGGAACACTACAGTAAGTAGGTCAGAGGAAACCATCCGCTTCGGGGAAGAGCTTGGGAAGCACAATTTCAGCAAGCACAGCATCGTCAAAACATTAATCAGAATATTTTTTATTCATTGAACACTCATAGTTAAGAAAGTATCGAAGTGAATGCTTTCTCTGCCTATAAGTTGGCTAACCACAAAATGGCGTCACTACGGTATGCATGAAAATGCTAGGGGTCGCTGCCAAAAACATTTGCATATGAATGAAATCCATATAAGGAGATATCAGCTATCATATAAGGACAGAAAGTCCATATATAGTCATAGATGGCGTGGGTGTAGAATATGCAGTTCCACATTGCTACTTTCGTAGTTTCTTAATCTAGTTTCTCATTCATTGGATTTAAATTTCATAGTAACTACATGTAATGTGCTTCCACAAATGACCTCGGATACTGAAGTTACCTAACTATATCCTTGCTTTAATCAAACAAATATTGACAAGTTGGAAATGGTCCAGCGAAGGGCAGCGCGCTATATGTGCTCAATAAGCACAGGTACAACCATCGTTACCCAGTGTGTCAGAAATGATGGACCACCTAAAGCAGATAGACGTAGAGATGCTCGCCTGATCATGCTTCATAACATTGTAAACCAGAAAGTCGGTATTGTAAAATCAGACAGATTAATCCCTACAGTTAGAAAATCCCCAATAAACCACCAGTTTTCGTATCAAATTCCCCACTCAAAAAATACAGACCAGAAAGGTATTCTTCCCTCGAACTATACCGGAGTGGAATAAACTCCCACCTGACATTATTTCGAGCCCCACAACGGAATTATTCAAATCAGCCCTCTGCCGTCACCTTTCAAAGGCAAATTAGACCATCTCGTATCTTTTAAAAACAAACTCTTTCCATGTTTCACTCCTCGTCTGACAATTTATCTTAAAATTGTTGAAGTTGGTCAGTACCATCTAGAAGTAGAAGTACCTCCCATATTAGTAACAGTATACAAACCATCCTTATTAGTGCTTCTTGTAAAAAAAGTTCTACGAACAACAGGCATCTGGTATTTTGACATACTTTTCAGATGCGTGTTTGCTAATAAACTTGATCATAATTTGTTAAACATAACAAAAACCCGTTACACCAGATCAAAACGAGACTTGAACGTGATTGAAACCTCAGAAGAGTACATCCTTACTGCACACATCTCCCAAGATGAATTATGGAGGTAGAGTTATGGCCCTTGAATATTTTCAACAACAAAAAAAGGAATATTCCAATCATTCTCTAAACAGGCTAATTGTGTGTTTGGAACACCAGTACAAACAAATAAGGATTGTACTATTGTTTCATATCTCATTGGTAAGAAGGCAGAAGATAATTGTTGATGACTCGATGTGTCATAAGTTACCATACCATTCTTTGAAGGAAAGCCAGTCTGGATTAAGCACCCAAGGAAAAGTATATTTCAGATATTGAAATGTGAACACATGTAGTTTTAAATCTGTCTGGGAGGTTTTCACACTTCACTCAGCGTTCACCTTGCAGAATTTTTACACTGACTAGTAAATGCTCAATATCTTGTAAACTTTTCTCCAGAACTGCATCATCTCCATTGTTTATTATTTCCATATCAAAGTCGACATTATCTAGTCCACATTCCGATTCAGCATCATCCACTCCTACAAGGAAATATAAAATGAGATATAGTTTAGATTTTCACCATATCACCTACAGCAAAAAACCTCGTTAAAAAACAATCGTCAAATTTGATTTTATGAAGGGTTAGGCAATATATTGAGGGAAGAGAATACAAAAAGATGTTTTAAGAATGTGAGAAAAAAGGACATTGAAATGTGCTGGCAGTAAGCAAGATGGCAAATGGAACGAGGGGCATTATATCTCGGTTTTACTATACTGGTATTTATGATTAATACTTACTGGAAGAAACAGATGATGATACGTCAATGTTACTGCATTTTATTGATAATTTATCGATGTTATATTTATTCAAATTAATCACAATATATGATATTAATTGAAACTTCATTCGAAAAAAAATCCTCCTTTATGAAATGACCATATGAAAGAAATTCAATAAGTATAAGAACGATTAATTAGTAGATGATACCTGGAGTAAACACAAATCCTCTACTTTGCCTTGTGCTATCTGAAGTCACCACTCGTATTGTTTTGGTAATGTCTGGGAAATTGCTTTTGAAGTACTCAATGTCAGTCTTCCTCCTGGCATCGCTGATGATCCACACTGACTTTTTTGCCTCATCCCCTGAAGTTGCCACCTGACAGAAAAATCCTGGGTCCTGGTTCCGTTTATCTTCACCCCAGCGAATCATGTCTGCTCGAAATTGCTCTTTGTAACTTGTAGAATCTAGTAAACGCGCAAAATCCAAGCTTTTTTCCTGAAATAAAACAGGAGACAAACACTGTTTTTATCAATAAATTGAAATTAACAATTATATATGTCTAAATATATATTCCATTTAAATATATTACCTTACTACAGAATTCTGCAAAGTAAAATTCCAAGTCCTTTACTCATAAATATATAATTTGTTCATGAAACATAACAAGTTTTTCATGTAATCACTAAGATAAACCTGAAGACATAAACACATTTCTATTTTTTATTTTATGGATCTACTTACAAGTGCATATTGCTGCTTGAGAGGGCCTGAGAGTCTGATAATTCCACATATTTCTGCTCCAAATCTGCAAATTAAATAATGTTTTAAAAGCTATGTTACCCTGGTATAACATCAGTAACTTCCTACCAACTTGGCTATGGTAAATTTCTCTGTATGTCAGTAGGTAAAGCATTTATTTAAAACAAAAAAATCACATTTTGAACATTAAGCCACGATTCTTTACAGTAATGGAAACTTGCAATGCCAAATTTCAGTTATATAAATATATACCTCTCTGATATAATTGATTCTAAAATTGTATGAAAATTTCACCTCAGCTTTCAGCTTAATTCTATTTTCCTGTATTTGTTTTTGTCTCATAGAGGATTATATCCAATACTGAAGAAAAAAATGCTGATGTAGCATGATGAAGTTGTTATTTAATACATATACACTGTATGGGTAAACTACAAGGAATATGACATAACGCCTATATCACTTTTAAAAACATGGTATATATATAGCTACAAGAATCTTAATGTGCACTTTTTTAACTGATCTCTCTTTTCGGGGAATGTAAATTCATCATTTTAAAGTACTGCAATGCAATGAAGCATAACCTTAAGGATCCCTTTCCCATTGACTGCCAGCAAAGCACCTAAGAATTCCACTGTGGATTTTTGTTTATGCAGTACAATTAACCTACTCTTGGGTTCGATTCTGGTCTTGCCCAGCTAAATTTTACACTTCAGTTTATGTGAGTTGTTGAATATTTTTGTAAATTTTAATTTAATTTTCATTACTTTTTTCATGTCAGTCACAAAGGATACAGTTTTCTTTTCTGAAATGATTTATCTAAACCATGGTCATGCCAGAAAAAAACCCAGTTTCCAATGTACTGTAGTTACACAGTTACAGTTTTTTTTATAGCGGTACTGTACGCTTACCTCTCCATTAAGCGTTCGGTAATGAAGTCTTTTCCTGACTTTCGTTTCCCGCTAAACACCAAAACAGCTTTTGGACGTGTTGCCATGACCTCTTTCAATTTATATGTTACATTTTCAGCGAATATACGTCCTGGATTTCTTTTTAACAGCATAAATCCATGAGTGCAAAACAGACCAGCAATGTGTAATTTGGCCGGAAGTTGATTATCTTATCATACACGTGCTTCCGGTTCGAGTTTGTTTACAATGGAAAGATAATATTGTGATGGTATTTTGGAAGAGTTTTTGAAATGGAGCGTCCTGATAAAGAAAGCAGGGACATATCAGAGTGTCCATCGGACTCAGTAAGTAGAGGGCAATTTGCATTTGAGCAATATTGCTGAATAGAAAAGTAAATCTGCATTAATATTTACTCACACACCCCTTACTTTACATTCAATGTCATACACAGATATAAAGAAATATACTTGCTTATGTAGACTCACAAAATATGTACAAACTTATTATACTGGTACACATATTTAGCCTACATTAGGCTTTTAGGATTTTACATGAGTTTCTTTTTCATATGCGATAAAATTATTGAAATGATATTTCTAGCTAGTGATCAGTCTTAATTTAAGGGTGTTTTAAATTAAGAATTGTTCATTTCAGCAAACCTCGTGTTACTGGAAACTCATTATATCAACATAGTAGTCTTGCAAAGAAGAATGTCGAGTCAAAAGAATATAAATAAATAAATAGATGAAAACAAATCCAAGTAAAAACAGCTATATATTAATTACAATTGATAAAAAATTGATTTCAATATTTTAACCCTATAATAGGCTGAGGCTGGCAAGGCTAGTGTATGTGAAGGATGTCCAGGACAAGCCTACTGCCAATCACAAGGTATGTAATCATATAACAGTTCATGAGGTATGTTATCAAGTCCTAGGTATACATAGTGGGGTCAGGCGCAGTGGATTATATCTGCAATCGATCATCTTCCATGGCCAGGGTTTGATTCCCCAACCAGACGGGAAAAGGTATTTCATTACCTGCTCATGATCAACCATGTCGTTTTTTCCTGTTTCCTCTCACTTCAAGACCATAGATGCAAGCTTCCATCTGGATCAACAGGAGAAATTAATATAAGTTGGAAAAGTTGTTTCATAATTGTTGTAAAATAAATAAAATTTACATAAAAAAGCCATCAGGACAGGCCTGTCACAAGACATTGTGTGTATATAGCCCCAATGGAGGAAAACATCCCAAGGTAGTATATACCGGTACATATACCTAGAGATTTTTTGTTAATGTACTTGCCCTCTATGTTCATGCTGTTTTGAACACAGCTCGGTTATGTAGCATATATATTGAACATTATATATTATTGCCCAAATGAGGTCATTTGCAGGTACACCTCAGAAAAAGTTCTTTGGATATAAAAGACCACGAAACATGAGATTTTGTTCTTACTCCCCATTCATATTTTTTATTTCGTGTAATTATCCTTTGTATATAAACAGGTGGAGTGGACCCAGACCAGGAGGGGATAGATCTACGCATGGGAGCAATCAAACACAAGATACTTGTGCTCTCAGGAAAGGGAGGTAACTTTTGCTTGTCATCTGACATCAGACTGCAAAATCAATTTGCTAATCTGGTTACATAACATGTTCAAATAAAACAACCCCCACCCAAAACAAAACAAAAAAAGAAAAACAAAAGCCTTCAGTAAGCTTAATTTGATACATCCTAATTCAATTCCTATGTTCAAATACTAAGGTATTAAAATCTAAAGGGTATCTAAATGACTTAGTTGAAAAGTTAAAACACAATAGAAATTGGAAATGAACATTTATTTATTTTTTGCAGGTGTAGGTAAATCTACTGTGGCAACTTTGCTGGCAGAAGCTCTGGCTTCAAGGTCACAGAAAGTGGGTGTGATTGATCTTGACATTTGTGGACCCAGTGTCCCTAAGCTACTGGGTGTGGAAGGAAAGCCCATTGTCAACTCACAGTATGGATGGAAACCTCTGGTGTAAGGAAGAACAAAATATATAGAAAAACATTCAGAATGCAACATTGAGTAACATAGAATTATTATTACATGCTTAGCAGCCAATCAACACAGGATAGGTCATTAGGGCCAGGATAGGTCATTAGGGCCAGAGAAACATATAGAAACTGTATTGTAAAGGGCAAAATATTTCTTAAATATCTTATGATTTCTTGATTGTACAAGGTAGATCAGTATTTATTAAGTTAATGTATCAAGTTTGAGGCTCAACTGCTGACATTTTGATGCATGATACAGGCCTCCTGTGCTAGAGCTGAACATTACTGTATAGAACATTGAAGCTGAACTCAGTACTCTTTAAACTATTTCAGATCCCCTCATTACAACATCAAAGTGATATCTGTTGGGTCCCTGTTAGCATCTGACACCAACTCTGTGGTTTTCAGGGGACCACGTAAATCAGGTGTGTGTACTGCATGCCAGAAGTAAAGCTAGACAATAGCTACAATCAAGGTAGGTCTTACAGTGTAACAATAGCTACAATCAAGGTAGGTCTTACAGTGTAACAGTTATAAGCTACAATCAAGGTAGGTCTTACAGTGTAACAGTAGCTACAATCAAGGTAGGTCTTACAGTGTAACATTGTGTAACAGTAGCTACAATCAAGGTAGGTCTTACAGTGTAACAGTAGCTACAATCAAGGTAGGTCTTACAGTGTAACAGTTATAAGCTACAATTAAGGTAGGTCTTACAGTGTAACATTGTGTAACAGTAGCTAGAAACAAGGTATGGCTTACCATGTAACCATGTATAAAAGTAGCTAGAAACAAGGTATGGCTTACCATGTGATCATGTATAAAAGTAGCTAGAAACAAGGTATTGCTTACCATGTAACCATGTATAAAAGTAGCTAGAAACAAGGTATGGCTTACCATGTAACCATGTATAAAAGTAGCTAGAAACAAGGTAT